AAAAAGAAAAAAAAACCCCAAAAACCCTGAGGTTCATAAAGGTTAGGAAACTTCACCAAGATTACAAAGTTACTGAGTGTTTGAATAGCAATTCCTAATCGGCATTTTTTCATCATGTCATGCTTAAGTGTGGCCTTATGAGAGTGGGTACAACACCCCGGGACCATCTGAGGAAGGACACTGCAAACCACTGGGAAGCCTCCTCTCCCATCGTCCTGAGACAAGGTCACACAAGAGACTTCCACTTTCACTGACTGACCAGACAAGATCAGGTGCCCCTATCATACAATTTCATACTTTTGTTTCTGAAATACCAAATGCCCACCCTAACTAATTATCTGTGTGATTAATGTCTGTCTTCTCGATTTCACTGAAAATTTTACAAAAGCAAAGGCAACATCTGTCTTACTAATCATTGCAAGTAAGCTCAGAGCCTAATAGCATTGCATTGGGCACGTAGCAGGTATTTATCAAATATCTGTTGAGTCCAGTGGTTATTAGGCCTTCTTCTGAAGATAAGATTGTCAACAAGATAAAAGCTGAGAACTAATGCTGACTTCTCTTGGTCATAGCCAGTCCAAACATTTGAAGCATTCTACAAAGATAGTTCTTTGAATGTTCTCTTACTGGGATTTTAGAGTTTAACTTAGCTTTCATCCTAACAGGAACAGAGCTAGAAATGCAGAATACTCTGCATGAGGTGTGTGTGTGTGCATGTGTGTGTATATGTGTGCAAGCAAAGCCAGATAAAACATCAATCGGGTCTCATTGCTTCTCTCTTCTCAAGCACAGAAATGGTCTGTGGCCCCAGCCTTCCTTTGTGTTTAGCACAGGCTCAGGACACCCCAACTGAGAGTCTGGCATCAGATGGTGAACATTTAATGTTAGAAGAAGCTGCCCAAGGGCTCAGCTATGCATCCCTTAATATATGCTGAAGTTAGCTCTGGAAATTCCTGGAGGTTTGACAAATCGGGCTGACTTACTGCTGAATTTTCTTAGCATCTCCCTCATTCCAGTGATGTGGCACAGACTGAGTTCCGTGGCGGTGGCCTCTGGACACTGAAGCAAGAGTGGTTCATTCCTACAAGAGAGCAGAGATACTCACTCCTCCCTTGGCACAGCCCGCATGACCCGCTCCAATGTGGTGTCCTTTCATTTTGCCCCAACAGCACAGACAGTCCCATCCGCACTCATCCTCTATTTCACTAGCACCACATCCCTGCATCTCACATAACTGAATACAAATGGAACCTACCTTTCCAGTGCTTCTCTCACTTCCTAAGGGTATAAAAGAAAGATGGTTAGCACGCGTGCACTTGGATCACTGGCGAGGACTGGCTCCATTTTGGATACGGTGAAAATCCCCAGGGTGTTGTAGGGTTGGTTTTTGGTAAATGAGGGGTTTCTCACAATGACTAGAGAATACTTTGTCCTTTTCTTTTTCTCATATCAACACTTTGTCAAGAGAACCTGTTGTTGATAAAGGAGCCAAACTACTAGTCTCATTATCCAATGCCTCAGGGAATCCGAGATAAGCAAAGGAAAATGGACCAGCGAGGATTGAGATCAAGCCTATGTGCAGTTGGAGAAGTTTGTTTGGAAGGCACTAGGTAAATAGTAGCATTCTATGGAACCAGTCCAGGAAATAGGCCTGAGGCTGGAGTTGGCTTACATGGCTTGTGTTTAAGAAGGTCCTGGAGGATGCAATAGCCTCGGGAGGCAGCAGAACAGAGGTGGTGAAGAATGCAGGTGGGTACACAGAACACCTGGATTCTACCACTCAGTAGGTATTTGACAACCAAACTGCCTTACTACCATAGCTCTGAATTATTAAATAAGTGCTGCCATAAACCATTTTGTAGATGACAATCACCTATACTCATATCATAATAGCACTGCACTTATCCTTATCAAGTCTTTGTGAAGACTGAACTGATTGTGCCCAACACATAGTAAATGCTCATTAATAAGCTTATTAAAATATTTGACAAAGCTGAAGTTGCAGTGAGGCAGGCACAGAAGTTGGAGTCATCATTAGGCATGTTTGGGATCATTATTCCTGGTTTTTTCCCCTCAAGGCTTTATTGACATATAGCACGTCAATTCTTTAGGAAAACTACTTTGGGGCTGGAACCTAGTTTTTCAGGTGAATAAAGAAAAACTTATTTTCTATGACTTGGAAAACTATGGGTTACTATATATTTTTTCCATTAATTTTTCCCAGTCCACTCATGAGTTTCAGGCTCACCTCTAAAGATTCCAGAATCGGGTTCTGACATGTGGACTCTATCTGTACAATCATTTTGCTGAGCCTTCGGATTCGCTGGGTCAGCTGGATCTCATTGTCCCTCAGTTTCCTCATGTTTTCCTTCTCCTCCTTGTCCAGCAGCTGGAGTTGCAGCTGCTCCTCTTCCTTCAGGAACTGGTGCATTTTCATATATTCCGACACTACAACCTGTTTACAAGTCTTTGTCTCTTCCTGCCATCACCGATGCACACCCACACAATATGATAAAGTTAGTAATGGAAACACCCATGTCTGTGGATTCTTAATCCTTACAAAGCCCTAGAGCTCCACTGTGACACTTCTTGAAGCCCGACACATAAAATACATATTCTACTGACTGGCTGTGTGGAGAATTTGATGTTTTCAAAAGTGCATGCACTGTAGATACAATAGTAAACAAAACCAAAATTTCTATTCCCAGGAGACTGTCATTCTAGTGGGAGAAACCAAAAACAGACAAAAATATAACAGGTGATGATCCATACTATGATAAAACTAAAGCAAAATAAAGGAGAAAAAACATGAAAAATGTGTGCGTTTATTTATTCAACGCATATTTATTCAGTCAAAGGAGGCTTTGGAATACATGCTAGGAATAAAAATATACATCACACATATTTCCACTTTAGAACTCAAACTCTATTGGGAGAATCAGTGCACACTTTTTAAAAAAAAAATCTAATTAAACATTTAGTTATTTGCTTTGACTGCTAGATAACTCAAGTCCAATCTATGACTAAGCTTGAGCATTTGTTCAGGTATGTTTCCAAATTACTTTTTTGCCTCGATNACCTTTCCAGTGCTTCTCTCACTTCCTAAGGGTATAAAAGAAAGATGGTTAGCACGCGTGCACTTGGATCACTGGCGAGGACTGGCTCCATTTTGGATACGGTGAAAATCCCCAGGGTGTTGTAGGGTTGGTTTTTGGTAAATGAGGGGTTTCTCACAATGACTAGAGAATACTTTGTCCTTTTCTTTTTCTCATATCAACACTTTGTCAAGAGAACCTGTTGTTGATAAAGGAGCCAAACTACTAGTCTCATTATCCAATGCCTCAGGGAATCCGAGATAAGCAAAGGAAAATGGACCAGCGAGGATTGAGATCAAGCCTATGTGCAGTTGGAGAAGTTTGTTTGGAAGGCACTAGGTAAATAGTAGCATTCTATGGAACCAGTCCAGGAAATAGGCCTGAGGCTGGAGTTGGCTTACATGGCTTGTGTTTAAGAAGGTCCTGGAGGATGCAATAGCCTCGGGAGGCAGCAGAACAGAGGTGGTGAAGAATGCAGGTGGGTACACAGAACACCTGGATTCTACCACTCAGTAGGTATTTGACAACCAAACTGCCTTACTACCATAGCTCTGAATTATTAAATAAGTGCTGCCATAAACCATTTTGTAGATGACAATCACCTATACTCATATCATAATAGCACTGCACTTATCCTTATCAAGTCTTTGTGAAGACTGAACTGATTGTGCCCAACACATAGTAAATGCTCATTAATAAGCTTATTAAAATATTTGACAAAGCTGAAGTTGCAGTGAGGCAGGCACAGAAGTTGGAGTCATCATTAGGCATGTTTGGGATCATTATTCCTGGTTTTTTCCCCTCAAGGCTTTATTGACATATAGCACGTCAATTCTTTAGGAAAACTACTTTGGGGCTGGAACCTAGTTTTTCAGGTGAATAAAGAAAAACTTATTTTCTATGACTTGGAAAACTATGGGTTACTATATATTTTTTCCATTAATTTTTCCCAGTCCACTCATGAGTTTCAGGCTCACCTCTAAAGATTCCAGAATCGGGTTCTGACATGTGGACTCTATCTGTACAATCATTTTGCTGAGCCTTCGGATTCGCTGGGTCAGCTGGATCTCATTGTCCCTCAGTTTCCTCATGTTTTCCTTCTCCTCCTTGTCCAGCAGCTGGAGTTGCAGCTGCTCCTCTTCCTTCAGGAACTGGTGCATTTTCATATATTCCGACACTACAACCTGTTTACAAGTCTTTGTCTCTTCCTGCCATCACCGATGCACACCCACACAATATGATAAAGTTAGTAATGGAAACACCCATGTCTGTGGATTCTTAATCCTTACAAAGCCCTAGAGCTCCACTGTGACACTTCTTGAAGCCCGACACATAAAATACATATTCTACTGACTGGCTGTGTGGAGAATTTGATGTTTTCAAAAGTGCATGCACTGTAGATACAATAGTAAACAAAACCAAAATTTCTATTCCCAGGAGACTGTCATTCTAGTGGGAGAAACCAAAAACAGACAAAAATATAACAGGTGATGATCCATACTATGATAAAACTAAAGCAAAATAAAGGAGAAAAAACATGAAAAATGTGTGCGTTTATTTATTCAACGCATATTTATTCAGTCAAAGGAGGCTTTGGAATACATGCTAGGAATAAAAATATACATCACACATATTTCCACTTTAGAACTCAAACTCTATTGGGAGAATCAGTGCACACTTTTTAAAAAAAATATCTAATTAAACATTTAGTTATTTGCTTTGACTGCTAGATAACTCAAGTCCACATATTTCCACTTTAGAACTCAAACTCTATTGGGAGAATCAGTGCACACTTTTTAAAAAAAAAATCTAATTAAACATTTAGTTATTTGCTTTGACTGCTAGATAACTCAAGTCCAAATCTATGACTAAGCTTGAGCATTTGTTCAGGTATGTTTCCAAATTACTTTTTTGCCTCGATATCCCTTTCTCTTTGTTTTTAATTTGCATTCTCTTTTTTTTCTCAAGCATTTGAAATACTCCTTTTTTAAAATTGATTTCCATCTTATGTTATATAAGTATAACTTGTATTTTAAATAATGATGATTGGAGCCATAAAAGAGGTAGTTACAGAGTTGTCTAGGTGCACAAAGAGGGGGAAAAAATGAGCCTGCCTGGGAATGGGGGAATTTGAAGTGAGTCTTGGGATTCCCTGGTGGACAAGCAGAGGTAGGCAGACCAAAGCGGGATACTGCAAATGGCAGGACTGGGACTGAAAAAATTCCTTTTTAATCCTGATATTCACTAAATGTTCCTTTAGTCCGCATCCGCCCCCCACCCCCATAGTAACATATACAAGACCCAAAAGTAAGACACATACTGACCTTACACAGTATCACTCTTTCCTTCTCGTGGGTTAATACAGTCTGAGCTTCCTTTTTCTTTTTACGCAAAAGATTTAGGATTTCCTGAAGTTTCTCCTGCAATAGAAACAAACTCTCTGTGACAAATGAGCAGAGCACCAGGTCATGAAGGGGCCTTGAAGACCAATAACTACAGGACGACTGGGACTCCAAAACAAAGGCTGAAAGCAGAACCCACAGGAGCCTGTGGTGTGGTGCCTAGAGAGGAACACCCATGATTGTCACTGATAGAGAATACCATGAGAGTTAAATGACAGAACCTGATCCGTGTTCCAAGATTGATGCTGAGCAGCCAGTCTTACTTTGTGATGCTCCTCAGCCTCACTCAAGAGATGCACTCTGTTTATTCCGTGACTGTGGGTTGAGAAGACACTTGCACCCTGCTCGTCATCAGAGAATGCCTTAGTGGCTGCCAGTGTTCTCCCACAGCCACCTGCTTCATCCTCACTCTGCAGCACCTGGGATCTGAGTTGCCTGCCGATGCTCGCCAGCCTCCCCAGACGCTCATTGGGCTGGAAATGAGGGCCCTCCAAGGTCCTCCAGCACTCAGGACAAGACAAAGGTGTGTTATGTTCCTCCCAGCTCCTGAGGAGACACACCAGACAAAAGCTGTGCCCACACTCAGTGGTCACTGGGCTGCTGAAATAGTCCAGGCAGATGAAACAGGTGAGTTCTTCTCTGAGAGTCTCCATCAAATCTGCTGTAGACATTTGGATGGATATCGGTGTAAGGCTACACCTCTCTTCCTGGGTTAGAAAAGTCCTCTCTGTGGTTCTTATTGGTTTGAGTAACAGGTGGGTGATCAGTTGCTGTGCTGTTATTACCAGAAAATCCTACTCTCCTCTGTGCCTGATTTCACCAGTTGACATGTACTCTCTCAAAACAAAGCCAATTATGACTTAATGTGGAACTTCTGTACACTGGGTTCATCCTCAACCCCAAACTTTTACTGAATCTTACTCTCTCTGCAAGCCACATGCTGGATGCTGAGAATACTTGCTCCTAACAGAGTTATCATTTCACGAGCTGGTTTTGTATGTAAACAGCACTGTGAAATCATTCAAACACATTGGTTTTAAGCTGGAGGGTTGAGTACTTTGGTGTAAACCAGTACAAAGATTTGAATTATGTTGATCTCTATTAATACCTGAGTTGGAAATATGGTCCAAATCATTTGGGAAACTCCACTAATAAAACCTAGTTGAGAACTGAAAGAAGAAAACCATAGCGTATATTCCTTCTCTCACTAGGCCCTTTTCTCTGCTTGAATAAAGCCCAAGCTTCTCCTCCTTTATCAGGTACCATGTACTTTTGTTTCATTTTATTCTTGCCAACAATATGACAACTATTCCTCTGAAGTATTCCTTGACTTTAGATGTACGATAGATTGCCATGGTTATATTTATTGTCTGCCCTGCAGACCACAGTACTCACCCATCTGTCGTCATGGGAAGCGTCTAAAACAACATTCTTGGGCTCGCTGATTAGCTCAGTTGGTTAGAGCACAGCCTTATAACTCCAAGGTCACAGGTTTGACTCCTATACTGGCCAGAGACTTAAAAAATAAATAAATAAAAGATAAAAAAGATAAAATAAAATTCTCGTTTGAAGTCACCTCAAGAGGCCATTACAGTATGAATGGATAGAACGAATTATATGCTGGTACAAATGTTATTTTGCTCACTTATTTTCTCCTTTTGAAAATGTTGAAATGTAAACCAGGCCTTCTCAAACCACTTATTCTTCTTCAGTGAGTACTAGACAGCAATTAAATATGCAGATGTTGTTTTTAGACCTGTGAAAAAGTAAATGTGTAGTATTGAGACTGCGTATGATGACCACTGAGATTAGAGCCAAATCCTATAAATCCACCGGGTCAGATGCGCCCCCGTCAGTTCTTGTCAGGACCCACCTTCCAATCACTGCATGCCCGAAAGCGAGATCACGAGGCTCTTCCTCAGTCTCACTGGTTTGGCTCTCCCACTAAGTCCATCACATCGTATGGAGGAACTTCAAAAAGTTCATGGAAAAGTAGGATTAAGTGATAATACAACCTTTCCATGAATTTTTTTTTTTTTGAGGTATTCTCATATTTCTATTTTCATCTGATTGCTTTCCAACTTGGCAACCTTCCACGGGTCTCCACCACCCAAGTTATTCCATTAATTTCTTTCTGACTTTCAAGGCTCCAACTGATACGTCTTTCCCTTTTATCTCCAACAAAATGACAAGCATTTTCTTATCTTGAACTTTGAGTAAAAGATATTGTCCGGCTCTAGATGCTTCTTCCTCTACCTTTCTTCCTTCTAACCAAAACTCACCTTTCGAAAGCCACTAAAATGTTTTAATCATATACCTTTCACACAGTATACATGAATTACTGGGATGAGAATACAAGCTAAGAAAAAGAAACAATCAGAGCAAAGAGTTATACTATTTTAAATAGGAAGAGAGGTGGCATTGTTTTGGCATCATGAAATCTCTTCCACTTAGATTGCTTCTAGCCTACTAACTGGCCACAGCTTCAAAGTATTGTTAGGAGTTAGCCTTAAGCCTTAAGTAAGAGTCTTGCCAAAAAAAAAAGACACAATAATATTAACTGCCACCCCTGAAAAAAGGATTTATGAACTACCAACTCCATTCAGTGTGTTATTCCCACACAAAACCAGAAGGAGTCTTTAACATTAACCAGAACTATTAGAATAAGCCCTACAATAGAGATATGGTACATCACAGAGCCAGTATTCCAATGTGGAATAAAGAGACTGGCATATTCTATGTTCAGACCACACTGATCTGTTCTATCTCACTTCCGTCTTCCAAATAAACCTTTTTACCTGATGAGCTTCATAAAATAATAACCATGTCTTACTCGTCTATGACTAGAATTCTTTGCACATAGCAATGGTTCAACTTATCCATAAACACATTTTAAATGTATTTTTAGGTGAACAAATAGAGGGACCATATTACTATAGAATCACAGATTTACATCTACCTGGAAGCCAAGAGACCATATAGCTCAATTATCTTCTATGGATGATGAAGAAAATTGACCAGATAAATTGAGTTGGCCCCCTGATACCTGCTTAGTAGACAGGTAAGATCAGGATGAGGAAGCTGGGTCTCCTACCTCTCGGTCACTCTCTTTTGTCAACATACTACACTGCATCTCACTTGATGACTTGTAAGTAGATGAAAATTTCCAGTTATCTCACTGAAATGAACATTGCTCAAGTGCTGTCAGAAGGAAATGGGACAGCTGTCCTTATAATGTGATGGGGTGACAGGTACCTGAAATCACTGGCTACACTCACTCTTGGGAATGTAGACTTCTTTACCATCTCTCTGAACACATTGGCTAGGCTTAATTCACAGGTGAAATAAATTCATAATGTAGGCTAGCCTTCCCAAAATATGTTACACCAAGCCTCTAGGCACTGTACTGCCATACGTGATTTCTGAGATCAACAACTCAGGTAGTTTTCTCTCCTGAAGAGGTGATAGTAGGGATACCCCAAGAGGTCCACAGTTACAGCTATCACCAGAAGCAATTAGGGTTGGAGCATACAGAAAGATTTAAAGATATAATGAGAGCTTATTTATTGGTGAGTCAGTGGGCTAGATGGAGGTTTATTCGAAAAACATCTTGCTTGAAAGTGTGGTTTTAAAAATAATCTGTCACTTCATATCGGTGTGCAAAAGATAGATTATCCAACAAATGGTTTAGGACAAGTGGAAGGAGCCATCTGGAAAAATAAATACAGTTAGATCCCTTCCTAACAATCTACACCAATGTGTGTTCCAGATGGACATATACAGTATATATGCGTGTGTGCGTGCACATGTGCCTATTTTCCCTCCTCTAATTATGAATTTCTACTCATGTCATTTCCCGTTGCTTTTTTCACCTTATTATTTTATTTCTGTGCATGCTTTTATTCTATATTACCCCACATCTATTTAGCAAGTAAGGAGCATATTTGTTAAACATGTGGCCAACAAATGGAGTAAGTCATAAAGAGAGATCATTGCTAACATAGTAGAAATTTAAAATGGCTACATAGAAAAAGCCTTTTTAAAGCAGACTACAGAGCTTAGATGCCACCAAGGAAAAGATTAATACGTTTAAGTAACTACGAGTTAGAAAGTAGAATTGTGGTTCCTAGAGGCTGGGAAGAGGGAGGGGGAAGGGAGAGGTTGGTTAACAGACACAGAATCACAGCTGGATAGCACAGATACGTTCTAGTCGTGTACAGTAGTGCTAGGCGTCTATGATTAACAGTTATTTATTGTGTGTTCTCAAATGGCTAGAAAAGAGATCTAATGTTCTTATCACAAAAAATTGAAAGTTTTGTGATGATGAATATGCTAATTACCCTGACTTGATCATCACAAATTATATACAGGTATTGAAATATAACTCTATAGCCCATAAATATGTACAGTCAACACGTGCCAATTATAAAATAAATTCCTTTAAATTTTTTTTTTAAAAAACAGTAACTTGTATATTCTCAATTGGCCAGAAGAGAGGAGTGTAAATACTCTCATTGCAAAGAAACAATAAATTTTTGTGATATGAATATTCTAACTATTCTGATTTGATCACACGTTGTATGCATGTATTGAAATATAACTGTACCTATAAATACGTACAACGGGTCAATTAAAAAATAAATTTAAAAAATAAATAAATAACTACAAATTGAAGATTTCCATACAGCAAAATAAATAACCAAATGGACATTTTTAAATGACAATTTAGGAAAGAGAATTTGCAACACATGTATCAAATACAAAATATTAAATTATGAAGAGGTCCTACATAGATATGTACTTAGAGGTAATAGCTCTTTTTCTTCTATATAGACTTTTTTTTGCAGATCTATTTATATACACTGACATGATATGGCTTCCATTACATGACATTAAGGGGGAAATAACACTTTTTGCCCTCAAAAGTAGTTTAAGGATAAATAATAAAAATTAGGCTATTTACTGTAGTATCGTTTAAGATAAAAGTCCTGAAGAGGGTTAAGTATTTCCTGTACCTACCTCTGGCCACAGACACATGCGAAACTCAGAATTCAGAAAATGATGTAAATCTGGTGAACTCAGCCTTATTTATATATTGATTTGAATAAATTATTGAGATGATTTGACACAATTGTTCAGATTAGAATTAAACACGGTGACTTTTTTTTAACTCAATCTCATGATGACAAGGCATCTTCAAAAAATTCATGCAAAAAATTTGTGTTATTTTTATTTCTATTTTTTCACAAACTTTCAAACTTTTTGAAGTACCCTCATATTCCTCATGTCACCTACTTCATGTTGTTCAACACTGAATCCACATTCTCAGCCCAACCTATGAGATCGAGGTTATCATTAACCTAAGTAAGAACCTTTAAACGAAAAGCAAGATGATAAAAAAAAAAAAAAAATTAGGCTATTTATATATGTATTTTTCCTACCAACATGCGGTCATGTTATAGATGCTGATAAATGTATTTGGGTACATGAGGGCATAGAAAAAGTATGGAATTTCATGGATATGACACAAAAGCAGAGGTAAAACAAAAGCAAAAATAGACAACTGGGACTACATCAAACTAAAAAAAAAATCAAGGAAACAATCAACAGAGAGAAAAGGAAATGTATGGAATGGGAGAAAATACTTGCAAACCATATATCAGATGAGGAG